CTGTAAGAGGTACTGGATCACTAAGGTTAAAGGGGTGAATAGGATAAAAAGGGTGATTTTTTAAATTCCCTTATACTTCTCTGCTTTTCCCAAGTTTTCTGCTTGAGCATGCATGTGTTACTTTGTAATTAGGAAAAAAAAAAAAGTGCTATTAAAAACCACAATGTTAGTTAGAAACCTTAGGCCCCATTACTACCCGTGAGGACTCATAGGAATCCAGGCCCAAAGCCAAGAACCAGGGTATTGTCAGGGTTCTGAGGTCACCTCTAGCTCTCTGACATTATAAGAATTCTGAGGAAGGAGAAATGCTGGACTTAGATCAGGGAAAAACAACTTGAAGGGCTTGGTGGAGGTAAGAGAGTTTGGGTCAGACCGTACCTTGGACGGGTCACAGGGGAACTGGTGATACCATATAGGTGGAGCACTGGTTACACTGTCTCAGCTGGATGTTGGACAGTCCACACCAAGAGCTGCAGGGTGGAAGGGGACAGGTCATCTCATGATAACTGGCATCACCATGAGCCCAGGTGATGAGAACAGAGCATAGACCCGGGGGTGCAGTTGGTGATGAGGGTGTCTGCGTGTCCTGCCAGTGTGTGAGTGTACTTTAGGTGGACGGAAGCGGTGATGGGAATGGAGTCAACTGTGAGCTCAGGTGGGGAAATCATTCAACTTTTGAGGCAGAGGAGGGCAAAGCTGAGCAAGACACATTGAGGACACTTGGAGACAACTGATCCCCTGGAGACCAAGTGTCCCACAGAGCAAGTCAGGCACACCATAGTCTGCCTGGAATTGACTCAACCCACAGTCTCCCCTAAAGCTAAAGGAAGGGGCAGGGGACAAGGAAGAGGATCAGAGAGCAGTCAGCAACCTCTCTGTCCTTTAAAATTTATTTTCAACTGCAAAGGCTGCACACCACAACTAGAGAGTTCATGAACCTCAACGGAAGATCCTACAAGAGGCAACAAAGACCCCACGTGTCACAACTGAGCCCCAAAGCAGCCAAATAAATCAATATTGAAAAAATATTACATGCCTCTCATGCATCAGATCCTATGCTAGGCATGAAGATGGGGAACAAGAGAAATGTGACCCACACTCATGAATGCTTTTAGTCCAGCATGAGAGACATGGTAAGGAATCACCACAAAGTGGGATACACATTCCAAAGAAAATACAGGCTTCTATGCATGCAGGGGGAAGGGACTGACCCTAATCCAGGGGCCAGGGACGCTTCTCAGAGGAAGTAACATGTGAACTGAAGGATGCCAAAACGATAAACAGGACAAAACTTGACTAGGCAGAGCTGGCAGTGTGGGTGAGGTAGAAAGAAAAATAGCATATATAAGGGATTGGAGATAAAACACACACACACACACACATGATTCAAGAAACTGCTAGAAGTTTAGTAAGACTGGAGCACAGATTGCAAAGATGAGAAAGGATGAGAAAGATGAGAAAGGAGGCTGGAGTCATAGACACAGGCTATAGAGGGAATTTATATTAGTAAGACTATGTCACAAATAATCAATTCAAAGTGGCTTAACAATAATTTATTGGCTCATGTAACTGAAAAGTCCAGATGCAGGTTACAGTCCAGATACAGGCTCTAGGGTTAGTTAAGCCCCAAGGACTGCTTTCCACAGTCCCTCTCTGTCTTCCATGGTGTTATCTTCATCTTAAAGCTGGCTTCCATTGGGGTTACAAGGTGGCTGCCCACAGTTCCAGAGGTTATGTGCTTCCTTATCCATGTTTGGACAAAGTGAAAGTGAGCTTCCTCAGTCATCAAATATTTGAAACATAGAGCTTCATTCTGATTGGCCCCACCTAGGTTCAAACCCATCAAGGAAAACAAGGCAATGGCAGGCCTCTGAAGGCCATGTCAAATACTATGGACTTTATCCTAAGGGCAGTGGGAAACATTCAAAGGTCTTAAATAGAGCGTGAGATGATATGTGCATTTTAGAGAGATCACCCTGGCTAGCTGGACTCAGCAAGACCCATTAGGAGGTAGATCTAGTTATCCAGGTAAGAGGTGATGGAATTGTAGACTAGGAAGAAACACAAGGATGAAAAGCTTAGAAGGTAGAATCCATAGGGCTTGATGACAATGTCAGAGGTGAAGGAAAAAATTAAAGAAAAGATGGTACCAGGTTTCTGACTTACACCACTTGGTAGAGGGTAGAAGAAGTAGTTTTGGGGACAGAGGAATTTGGCTAGAGGCCTGTTGAATTTGAGATACTTGTGGGAGATCCAAGTGGGGACATCCATTAGGCAGGTGGCTACATATCTGAGATGAGCAGAGTCCAACCTGGGGATACTTGGCTGTCATGAGTTTACAGAAGCCATGGGAGTAGATGAAATTGCCTACAACATGAAGAGAGATATAGACAGAAGGCATGAAGGTCTCCAGCACATCACCCTGTGTGTTCAGTTCCAAAGTGGGTGATGGCACAGTGGGCTAGATGGTGACCCCCATAAAGATAAGCCCATGTCCTAACCCTTCGAACCTGTGAACGTGACCCTATCTGGAAAAAGGGTTTTTGTAGATACAGTTGAATTAAGAATCTTAAGATCATCCTGGATTATCCTGGTGGGCCCTAAATCCAATGATAAGTGTTCCTATAAGAGACAGCCAGGGCCGCTTTCACCTTCTAAGATGGCCCACACTCTGTCTGTGGACTGTGTTCCCTTTAAGTAAACCTCCTTCTTACCTGTCAAAAAAAGAGAGACAGCCAGTAGAAGACGCACGGACAAGAGAAGGCCACGTGAAGCCGGAAGCACAGATTGTAGTTATGCAGCCACAAACCAAGGAATGCCTGGAGCTACCAGAAGCTGAAAGAGGCCTTTGAACCTTCAGAAGGAGCAGGGCCCTACCAACACCTTAATTTCAGACTCCTCACCTTCAGAACTGTGAGAGAATCAATCTTGGTTGCTTTAAGCCACCCAGTTTGTGGAAATTTGTTACAGCAGTCCTAGGAAAATAATACAGATGGTGAGGTGGGCTCGAACTACAGGGCAGTCCCCAGAGTCCCAGAAGGGCTGTGATTTGCCTTTGCTTCCGGTCCACGTCTGGGGAATAGGGGGACTTTTCTCCTGCTTTACTTGTAAATAGCGCCCTTCCCTGCAGCCATGGGATAAGCGGAGACATGGCTCTCGATGTCTTAGGACACAGACCCTAAGCAACCACAGAGAAGTGTGTGCCAGGCCAAGGCAGGAGAAGGGGGTGACCTAGTCAATCAGCCCCGAGTACACTCTGTCCCAACCCAGGGAGACGCAGGAAACAAGACTCTGGGAGCTCAAACCTGTTCTAGAGTTTGGCAGGCTCCCAGTTGCACAGGCTCGCTCCAGGATCAGAGTCCACATTCCCCACCCAGACCAGAGACACAGGCACACACAGAGACAGAGAGCTCAAGAGACAGCACCCATGGAGAATGGCACTTGGGAAGTTAGGGATCCGGAGCTCAGGGCTGCACCTCGACGTAGATCTGGGCCCTGAAATACTAAGAAAAGCTGCAGAGACGGAGGGGAGGCGTGTGCAGACAGCACAGAGACGTGTGCAAGGAGACCCTGACAGAGATCTGAAACATACAAAGATGCAAACATTCAGACCACTCGGAAAGGGGGTATGAAATAAAACTATGATTGGTGTTGGAGAAAATTCTAGACATACAAACTCCAAACTTCAGGTAGCATGGTGTTCCTGTTCTTTGTCCTTCCCATGACCTCCCCCATCTCAATTAGATTAGTCATTATCACCTTCTGTCTTATCCAGGCCTATCCAATTTAGATATTATCATGTACCTTTCATGTGTCTGGGTCCAACCACGGTTCTGACAACACAGCTGCCCAAGACAATGAGCTAGCTGACCATCAGGAGTGCCTGCTTGGATTGCCATGGATGGTTCTTAATTTAGCTCCAGAAATGGCAACCTAGATTGGTAAACTGACTACCTCCTAAGATGACTGCTTGGAGCACAGCTGTTGTTCAACCATACAAGTTTTGGCATATGTATTGACAAGTATGACAGTCACTCTGACAAGGCACACAGTTTAGGATGCTGTGGAAATGTGATGTCCTACTCCTGGAATAACTGTGGTTTGACATACACAGGTCATTGTCACTGGGCTCCCTGAAGGCAGGGAAGCTGTCTTAGTCTGGTTTTTCTTAAGCCCTGGACAGTGATCTGAAAAGCGAAAAATTATCAATAATGAAAGACTGTTGAATATAAGATGGACTCAGTCAAATACTGGACCCTGTCCTTATGAACCTCGAGGCTATTAGAGCAGATATAATGTCATAAATCACCTTAATATGAATTGGATGGTAAGCAAGATTATTAGGGCAGGCAAAGAAGTGTGGTGGTTCAGAGTCACCAGAAATCTCTTCCTGTGGTGTAGAGTTGGTCAAGCAAGACTTCCTGGAGGAGGTAGCCTTTGAGCTGAGTCTTTTTTTTTTTTTTTAATTTGGAGTAGAGTTGATATACAGTGTTGTGTTAGTTGTCAGATGTACAGCAAAGTGAATCAGTTATACATACACATATATCCATCCTTTTCCATATAGTAGTGTGCATATGTTAATCCCAACCTCCTATTTTATCCCTCCCCTCTACCTTTCCCCTTTGGTAACCGTAAGTGTCTTTTCTAATTCTGTGAATCTGTTTCTGTTTTGTAAGTAAGTTCATTTGTATCTTTTTTTTTTTTTTTTGGATTCCACATATAAATGATATTGTGGTATTTGTTTCTCTGACTTACTTAACTGTGACAATCTCTAGATACACCCATGTTGCTGCAAATGGTATTGTTTCCTTCTTTTTTATGGCTGTGTAGTATTACACACACACACACACACCCATCTTCTTTATCTACTCATCTGTCAATGGATATTTGGGTTACTTCCATGTCTTGGCTATTGTAAATAGTGCTTCAGTAAACACTGGAGTGGTGCATATATCTTTTTGAATTATGGTTTTCCCCAGACGTATGCACAAGTGTGGGATTGCTGGATCATATGATGGTTCTATTTAGTTTTTTAAGGAAGCTCCATACTGTTCTCCATAGTGGTTGTATGAACTGAGTCTTGAATAATAAAAGGGATTTCCACAGAGCAGATAGTAAAACTATATAACACTGTAATGGGTATACAAGCACTGATCCAGAGTGGAAACTGGATGGGACACTCAAGTGGTGTCCTAGAACCTATGCTGTGCCAAGCATTACTTCTTTAGACAAGAGCTCCTAAGGCCAGGAGTGTCCCCAGAGCGGAGTGGGGTAGCAGGAGCACCCTGGAGTTAGGGGCTAGTTACAAACCAGATTATAAATGTTCAACACATTTAATTATGCAACCGTAATGGTGTACATACCTACTGAATATGAGCCCCAGAGAAGAATCTCCTGAGGTGGGCTTACTGTCTTCCGGTTTGTCAGGCCCCCGGCGCCTCACTAGAATGTGAGCCCCAGAGAAGAATCTCCTGAGGTGGGCTTACTGTCTTCCGGTTTGTCAGGCCCCGGCGCCTCACTAGAATGTGAGCCCCAGAGAAGAATCTCCTGAGGTGGGCTTACTGTCTTCCGGTTTGTCAGGCCCCCGGCGCCTCACTAGAATGTGAGCCACAGAACAGCAGGGGCTGCTCTCCAGGTGACTGCTGCCTCCCTCGGGCCGAGAACCGAGCCTGGAGGACTGGAGGGGGCTCACCAAATGTCAAGTGACTAGGCAGACGGGGAACCCCCAGCCCATTCTTGGGGTCCTCTCACTCTTCACCTCTTTGCACCCACTTTCCCCCTCCAATCCGTGCTCCACACCACCTCTCAACATAACCTAGTGTGAGATACGGATTCTGTCACTCTCCTGCTCAAAATATTTGATATCTGTCTTTTGCCCAGGATCCCATTCCCCACCCCCACCCCTTTTTTTTTAACCAATTGAACTGCTACTTTAAACCCTGATCAGATTTTGCCAACTTCTGTGTTACTTTCTGAGGAAGAATTCATCTCTCTCCTCCAAATATTATGATAGTTTTGCCCTCACTCACCAGACAGTGAGCTCCTTAGAACAGGGACTGTGTCTTGTTTCCATATCTCTAGCCTGACATAATTTGGCTAGAATATGAGGGAGAGTAGTAGGAAATAAGATAGAAAAGTCTCTTGGGTAAGATTTTGAAGGGACTTGAAGTCAGCTGGAGGGAGAAGGTAGGTAGATGCAAGATACTTTGCAGAGTGTGGGAAGCCAATGAAGGTTTTTGAGCAGAGGTGTAACATGATGAATATTACATTCAGTTTTAAGCCATCAGAGACTCATGAATATATGCAGCTGTCCATTCATATTCAAATTCACATCCCACCTAACCATCCATCCACTCTCCCATCCCAAGACTCCCCTGGGAGCTTTCCCTACCCCTTTCCCTGCTCCCAGGCCCAGCCAGGGATGTATACATGGGTAGCTTCCCCTCTCAGCCAGGGGATGTGGGGGCCCCAGCTGCCTGGGGCTGGGAAGCAGGCCAGGGTTAGCTGAAGCTGGCTGACTAGCAGTCGGGCGGTGCCAGGGAGAACCTGTATAGTGCCAGGTGGTGCCTTGGGTTCCAGGCTGAGCCCATGACCCCGATAACCTGCTGGCTGGGCATATACCTGCCCCTCACTCCACCCCATTCCCACCTTGCTATCGGGGAGGGGGCACAGGGCCAGTTAGACCCACAGGACTTTGGCTCCATCTCCAAAAGGGCCTTCTGTGAGTCAGCCTGCTCCCCTCCAGGCTTGCTCCTCCCCCACCCACCTCCTGTCTCCGATGCACGTACAGCCCGTACACACCGTGTCCCAGGACACCCCACAGTCAGCCGCATGGCTCCCCTGTGCCCCAGCCCCTGGCTCGCTCTGGGGATCCCCGCCCCTGCCCCAGGCCCAGCTGTGCGATTGCTGCCGCTACTGCTTCTTCTGGTGCCTGCCCATCCCCAGAGCCCGCTCTGGGTGCAGGGTGTGCCCACCACGGGAGGAGACTCATCTGGGGAAGACGATCCACTCGGTGAGGAGGACCTGCCCAGTGAAGAGGATATGCCTGGAGAGGAGGACTCACCTGGAGAAGAGGACCTACCTGGATTGAAGATGGACGCAGGAGAGAATTCTCTGAAGTCAGAGGATCTGCCGACCGTTGAGGTACCCAGGGACACTCAAGGCCCCCAGGATAACGCCCACAGAGATGAAAAAGGTGAGTGGTCATCAGCTCTGCAAACCTAGGCTCCAGGAGGTTGGTGCTTCCTCTCATTAAACCCCAGCCCAGGGAGGGATTATTCAGGGAAGAAGAGGAGCCTGTGCTCTGACAGTGATTTTTCCCAACCCCAGGAGCTCCGTTGCCACTAACCCCTTACCCCCTTTCAGAGCTCGATGAAAAGACAAAAAAAAAGGGGGGGGGGACACGGAGAGAGGTAAGCAGGAAGAGACAGAAAAGCGAGGGGGAGGTTGGGGAGCAGAAAGAGGGAGGAATGTGGAGAGCAAAGTAAGAGGAGACAGAAGAGGAAGGATGGGGAGTTGGTACCAGAGGAAGAGCAGGAAGAGCTTGTAGAAATCACCGCATCTTCAGTCTACAGATGAGGAAAGTGAGACCTTGGGAGAAGGAAACAGCAGGTAGAGGAACCTGGTATCTTGACCCTCAAGCCAGGAACTTTGGAAAAGGAGGTGGAGATCTGAAAGGAAAGGGAGAGTAAGGAGGAGGGATTTCTAAAGGAGAAAGATGGTCTACTAATCTGGGCCTGGGAACTGAGGTCTCCACCCACTTTACAGACCCTAAGACAGTGGTTGCAAGGGGGGCTAGCAGAACCTTTGTGTGGCCCATCAAGCTGTGGCATTTTTATTTGGCCGCAACCTATTGTGCCTGTTTCTGGCGTTTACCTGCTGTGCTTTTGTAAGAATCTGAGTTTGTGAATGCTGCTAGTGAGGAAGACCCACCTCTTTTTGGCCGCTGGGGAGGGACTGGGCTCAAAGATCAGTCTCTTTATTCTTCTCGTTTATGCAGGGGATGGCCACAGTCATTGGCGCTATGGAGGTGAGACACCCACCCCTACACAGACCCAATCTGGGCACCCAGCTCTGCTGATGGTCGCACGCGCATCCCTCTCACCCCGCATCCACGTCTGCCATTCCCCGACATCACCCGCTGCCTTTCCCCTGCCCACCCCGACCCCCGCATCCTTTATCTCTGTTTCCCTCCGGGATGCCTCCTGACTCGACCGCATCACTTTTTCTACTCCGCTTCCCTAAAAGTTCCTGATCTTGTCTTCAAACTTCCTGTGCACACTTGCCCACTCCAGGCGCTCCGCCATGGCCCCAGGTGTCCCCAGCCTGCGCTGGCCGCTTTCAATCCCCGGTAGACATCCGCCCGGAGCTCACCGCCTTTTGTCCAGCCCTGCGACCCCTGGAACTCCTTGGCTTTGAGCTCCCGCCACAACCCAAACTGCGCCTGTGCAACAATGGCCACACCGGTGAGGCGGCCTCGGGCGGAGCCTCGGGGCAGGGGCGGAGTCTACCTGGAGGTGAGGGGACGGGGATTGGAAGTGAGGCTGAGGATGGGCGGGCCCCGGCTCACCTGCCTCTCACCACGCAGTGCAGCTGAGTCTGCCTTCCGGACTGAAGATGGCCTTGGGTCCCGGGCAGGAGTACCGGGCCCTGCAGTTACATTTGCACTGGGGGGCCGCAGGTCGCCCGGGCTCGGAACACACGGTTGATGGTCACCGTTTTCCTGCCGAGGTGAGCGCGCAGCTGTCCGCGAAGGGTCGAAGTGGAGTGCCCGGTAAGGGATCTCGCCGACTCCTCCCGTGTCTTCTCCAGATTCACGTGGTTCACCTCAGCACTGCATTTGAGGAATTTGACGAGGCCTTGGGGCGCCCAGGGGGCTTGGCCGTCTTGGCCGCCTTTCTGCAGGTACCAGCCCTAGACACCCCCACCTCTGCTGCTTTATGCCCTCGGGCTCAGAGTATCTTGCCCCAGAAGCTCCCATCCCCGCACCTGGCTGTCATCTTCATTCACTCATTAATTCTTTCATTAACTCCCACTGTGAGCCAGGCTCTGGGCCACAAAAAAAGATCCTGAAACCGTGGATCCTGTGTCCCCACAGCCAGTGAGGGAGGCTGACAGGGTAGACATATACACAGGACACATAGTCAAAGAGGTAGTCAGGGAAGGCCTCACAGAGGAGGTAAAATTTGAAGCCTTCACTAGTGGGAAAGAAAAAGAGATACTCCATGCAGAGCCAAGTACACGAGAACACTCAGAATATGGCCCATTTGGGGACTGGCAGATGTGGGGAATGGTCAAAAGGGAGAGACATTTTTCTAATACCTTTATAACCCATAATTTCCCCTTTGCAAAATGCACTGAGTCTAGGGGAGCATTTGACATCTTTGGACCTGTACGGATCAAGGGTACAAACACAATGATTAGAAGAGGCTAGTAGGAAGGAAGGATGGTGAGACACCTGTGGATGGTGAAACATCTGTTAGACTCTGCTTTCCTGATTCATTAACACCAGCCTCACAGCACTGTAGAGAAGCACCTTGGAAATAGCGTGTCCTGGGTCCAAAAGTCAAACTCATTAATTATTAAGGTGAATGCAGAGGTACCATGAATACAAAGGTTATTGGGGTTGTCTGTGGCAGGCCCATGGAATATGTATAGAGTTAGTGATAATCGAGCCTGGAAAAGTAAGTAGAGTCCATCGTTGAGCCTTGTATCCTAGTAAAATGGCCCAGCATCCTCCTCCTCCTCCTTCAATGAAAAGAAGTCCACCTGGTTAAGTCAGTTTGCAAGTAGAAGTAAATGGATCTTGAGTAATATATAAGATTTTTTTTTTTTAAATACATAAGATTTTGTGTTTCCCAGCATTCTCAGAGCTGGGGAATGAGGGAGGATTATGGGAATCCACATCACCTACAGGCCTCCAGCCATGACTCTTGATACATGTATTCATTTATTTTGCACTGTCATCTCCTAGGAAGGCCCAGAAGAAAACAGTGCCTATGAACAGTTGCTGTCACATTTGGGAGAAATCACCGAGAACGGTCAGTTTGTTGGTCTGGCTCCTTACCCTTGTCATAAAGAACCATCCTTGGGGAGCCTCGTGTCTGAGGATGGAGAAGGGCTCCCTCCCACAGAGAAGGGGGTTGAAGTGTGAACTGGCTTACTGTGACCTTGATAATAACTATGAAGCTGAACATAGCAAACAGGCAAAGCAAACTGCTGCCCACAGATTTTTTGTTTAAAAATCAAACAGAAACCAAGATAAAATGAAAATCAAATAAAACCAAAACACAGTGTTTGGAGCTCCAGGGGTTGAGTCTGGAGAGCTAAAATTTTTCTGAGAACTATTACTCCTTTAAAGCATCAAATATTTGATTTTATTTTTTAAAATAATTTGATTTATTATTGGCTGCGCTGGGTCTTCACTGCTGTGCAGACTTTTCCTAGTTGTAGCGAGTGGGGGCTCTTCTGTATTGCAGTATGCAGTCTTCTCATTGCAGTGGCTTCTCTTGTTGTGGCGCACATGCTCTAGGGCATGCGGGCTTCAGTATTTGCAGCGTGCAGGTTCTGTAGTTGCAGTTCCAGGTTCTAGAGCACAGGCTTAATGGTTGTGGTGCACCGCCTTAGTTGTTCTGCAGCATGTGGGCTCTTTCCCGGGCAAGGGACTGAACCTATGTCCTCTGCGTTGGCAGGCATTCTTTTACCACTGAGCCACCAGGGAAGTGCAGCATCAAATATTTTAAATTTGTAAATAATGTTGTTGGAAATCTTTTCCTTCTTAGTCACTCTAGCTGATTTTAAAGCTCACCCAGCTGGATCTTACGTTTTGCTAAACTGAAGAAAACTGTGCTTTTTGAGCTTTTGTGTCTGTCTTTTATAGTTATAGGTATTTATTTACAAATTATTCAAATTAAAAATTATTCAGAAAATTACTCATTTTCTCTTTTGATTCACTCTGGGCTTACATGTGCATTCCAGCATGTTATCACAGTATGCAAAGTAAGAGTGAAGACCCAGAAGGAGGGCCAGGGGAGCAGTTCTCTTACTCTGAGCCCCAAAGCCTTTTACTTGCTACTGAGTCATGTCCTGTGCTGAGTTATGGGAAGGGATACACTCAGTGAAGAAATAGTTTCAGGGAGTTGGGTCAGTTTGGTTTCTGGGATTTAAAAATGTATCCCTCTACCCCAGAGCTTTGGTGTGTGTATGAGGGGAGGTCAAGAGTTTGGACCCCAGCACACATCCTCTCCACAGATTCTGAGACTTGGGTCCCAGGACTGGATGTATCTGCGCTGCTGCCCTCTGACCTCAGCCGCTACTTCCGATACGAGGGGTCTCTCACCACACCCCCCTGTGCCCAGGGGGTCATCTGGACTGTGTTCAACCAGACAGTAAAGCTGAGTGCTAAGCAGGTGGGGTTGGGGTATGGTGGTGACATTGGGGATGAGGAGGCAGAGAGAGATGAAGGGGCCGTGTGGGGGCAATGGGGGATGGGGACCCTTTTGCTTCTGTGTTATGAGCCCACCCTCTGCTGACCTCCCCAGCTCCACACCCTCTCTGACTCCCTGTGGGGACCTGACGACTCTCGGCTACAGCTGAACTTCCGAGCTGTGCAGCCTTTGAATGGGCGAATCATTGAGGCCTCCTTCCCCGCTGGCGTGGATGGCAGCCCTAGGACTGTTGAACCAGGTGCCGCTTTGTCTACTGATGCTGGGCCCCCCTCCAGCCACAGGGCCCAAATCCTCTCTTGTCTGTCACTGGTGGTCACAGGCCCCAGCTCTAACATCTGCTTTTTCTCTTCAGTCCACCTGAATTCCTGTCTCGCTGCTGGTGAGTGCCCCACCCCCCTTGGCACTGTTCAGCCAGGAGCTAGTCAGGACCACCACTGCTACCTCTGCGTTTCTGCAGAACAGACTCCAAGCCCAATAGGATAGTGTTGGGTCAAGGTGGGGCTTACCCTGTCATTCCCAGAGCAAGAGTTGATCAGAATGAAGCTCAAGAAAACCCCTCCAATCTTCCTTCCCAAGTAACCTCTTTTGTCTTTAAGGAAGAAAAAGGTGCTTTTTTCACCCCTCCTTGTGTCCCCACCCCCATCCCTTAGCTGGCCCCTGCTAAGAGACAAAGCTGGTGGGGTGGGGTGCAGGTGGAAGCGGCTCTGAGGGAATCCTACAGGCTCTTCTTCACCCTCTGAGGCAGTCTCTTTCCTCCTCCCTCCAGGCGACATCCTGGCCCTGGTTTTTGGCCTCCTCTTTGCTGTTACCAGCATCGCCTTCCTTGTGCAAATGAGAAGGCAGCAAAGGTATTATACTGACCCTCTCTCTCAGGCCCAGCCCCCACCTCCCCAAGTGGAGTCCAGAGCAGCTCCATGCACAATGCATGCAAATGAGCTCGTCCCTGGTGAGATTTCTGATTAAGTTTCCCTGTTGTGTAGACACCCAAGTGAAACCAAAGGGAGTGTTAGCTACCACCCAGCAGAGGTCACAGAGGCTGTTGCCTAGAGGCCTGCCACTTGGAGAATATGCAGAGAAGCTGGTCAGAGGAATCTGAAGGGCAGCTGAAGACTCTGTCCTGTTCCCTACACCACTTCCTTTTAAACCTCCAAAGATTATTTTTAAAAATGAACATTTCTAATAAAATCTGTGGAAAGCAAATCCTTGTCCCCTAAACCAAAAAGATGGTGCATTCATTTCCTACTGCTGCTATAACAAACTACCCCAAACTTACTGGTAATGGAAATTTATTCTCTTAGAGTTCTAGAGGTCAGATGTCCAAAATGAATATTATGGGCTAAAGTCAGGGTGTCGTCAGGGATGGTTCCCTCTGGACACTCTTGAGGGGAGAATATTTTCCTGCCTTTTTCAGCTTCTAGAAGCCAAGCATTCCTTGGCTTGTGACCCCTTCCTGCATCACTCCAATCTCTTGCTTCCATTGTCACATCACCTACAACTGCTTTGAACCTTCTTGCTGCCCTCTTCTAAGGACCCTTGTGATTATGTTGGGCCCACCCAGTTAACCTAGAATAATCTCCCCATCTCAGAATCCTTAACTTGACTGCAAAGTCCCTTTTCCCATGTAAGGTGACATTTCACAAGACTAGGGTATGGACATCTTTGATGAGGCAGCAGGAGTCTGCCTAACATAGATGTCATCAGGAAGCGGGCAGAAATGACCTAGTGTTGGAACAACCTTGTGTGTGTGTGTCTGTCTGTCTATAGGGCAGGCTGTCTCTAGGCTTAAAATCAGTGAGGCTCTGGGTTTTCACCCTGCTCAAGTAAAACAAATGTAGTTTTGTGGTTTTGCCTCCAGCTGTGTTGTGCCCAGCCACCTGCTGGAATGGGGCAGTGCCACTGATGGCAGCTCCTCTGCCCTGTGGGGAATAAGGGCCAGGCTCCTCTGCCCCACACAGCCTGTTCACAACCCGTCCTCGGTGACCCTCATGCCCCATCCCTCGGGCTCACTCAGAGCTCCTTCCCACTTCACTCTTCCCCTGAGGCATCCTCTCTGCCGTCTCCACTTTGGAAAACTACCATCACCACTGCCAACACCCAAGAAAGGCTTAAAGGGTCCCATAATGCTGGTGACATCCGTTTATTGGTGGGGTGGCAGCTAGCCTGGCTGGGACAGGGCAAACCCTCAGAGGTTGTTGAGCTCCAGCAGTGTCTGGTCGAGGGTCTGGTGGATCTCCACGTTCTCCTCCTTGGCACTGGCCAAGGTCTCTGCGAGGGGAAGCAACCCGTGAGCAGGGGTGGGGTGGGGAGGCATGGACAGGGGGTGTGACAAACAGACACGGAGTGGATTGGAGGCAGACAAACACAAACATTCAGGGATCTGAGTACCCCTTGGGTGGGACAAAGAGACGGACTGACCAAGACAGGGATGCCTCACTCAAGGCTTCAGGGCCATGGAGGTGAAATGGGAAGGCCTGAGTCATAAACTAATTTACCCTCCTTCTTTAGAAGGTTCAAGAGAGTTGGAAACAGGAGGAAAGACAAAGACTGAGCCAGGAAAGGGAGCGTCAGACAGATAGACATACTCGAGGCAGAAAACAGACCTGCAGCGAAAAGCCCCCACGTTGCTGGCATCCAGTGTCATTCCAGACGTCATCCCGGACCCTTCACAACCTTGCACCCCTCCCTTGCACCTCAGCAGCCCACTTCCCTCCCAGCCATCCCTTTATACCCTGGGCTCTCAGCTGAGCGCTCCAAGGCCAGTGACATGCCTAGGTTTGCAGAAGGGCGTGTATCCCAGAGGCACCAGGGGGCCCGCCCGCGTGACTGACACAGTCATACGTGCCCACAGGTGGCGGTGAGACTCATGCAGAGGGGGTTCTGGGGGGGGCCTCAGTGTTTTGTGGGTGAGCTCAGTGTGGGAGGAAGTCACAAGATTAGGGGTGCCCATAGGAGCCAGGGTCTCAGCAGTGAACCAGTGCTCTTTAGAGGGCAGGAAAACAGCGTGGAGACCAAATGGAGTTTATTAAGCAGCAGAGAGCGGTGGAGGCCGGCGGGGAGAGGGAGGAGTGGATGGACATAGAAGGATGAAGCAAGTGCCAGGATGGGCAGCGGATGTGGCGGGGGCTCTCCTAGGCTGCACCCAGCCTGGCTGTGCGGTGTTGGCAATTTCTGCTCCTCCTGCTGGCCCTGCTTCCCAGAGAGAGAATGGAAAGGAGAAGAGAGGGGGCCGAGGGCGGCACTGGTGAGAGGCTCAGAGGGAGGTGATGTCATTGAGCGCGTTGTCCAGCTCCTCACTGATGGCCTTGTACTTCATCTTCTGTGCATAGACTTCATCTGGTGGGGGTCCAGGGGAGCGGGGCCAGGCGGGAGTGTGGGGAGAAGGAATGGAGGGAAAGCGGAGTGGAAGGACAGGGTGATGGAAAGAGAGAACAAGAATCAGAGAGAGGTGGATGAAGATGGAATAAGGGAGACAGGCCAGAGAACAGGCTGGACAGCCATCAGGGCCCCCTCCTCGCCTCTCTGTACCCCTATGTCTTTTGTCCTTCTCTGTACCCCAAGTTGGTGCTTCCCCAAGGAGCTCCTGCCTCCCCCCAGGGACCTGGGGGCACCGTGCTTTGCATAAGCAGGAGTGCTTGCTTCAAAGGGAGCACACTCAAGCTAGAAAGGCCTAAAGTTGGAGAGAAAATTGAGGCTTGCCTGAGAGGGCTGGAAGCAAGAGATGTGGGAGTGAAATAAAAGGGAAAGACAGTTTTAGGCACAATGTTGTTGTTAAGAGTGAGAAGTAGCTACAGACTAGCAAATACCTAGATATTTATTTTCATCAAATCTAGCTTAGAATAGTATTTTCCATTAATGCTTTCACAAAAACCTACATATTAAACCAAACAGCTCTCTATTTAATAAAGAGGGTGTTGTACTTGGAGAGAGTGTTATCTAGATCAGTGCTACTCAGAGTGCGGTCTAAGGACCAGCAGCATCTGCATTGTCAGGGCGCTTGTTAAGACACAGATTCAGTCCAAAGTCAGCAGTCACTTCAGAGCAGGACCCAGGAATTTGTATTTTTTAAAAACTCTCTGAGGGGATTCTCATGCTTACTCAAGTTTGCAAACCACTGGAGTTGATGGGGCTATATCATCTATCTACTTGGATGGGAGGCAGACTGCCAAAACCTGTGGAGTCCTAGGGGGTCCAGTCCTAATTTACCACTGGCAAGTCTCATGGGATACGAAGATAAGTCATGGGTAGTACGGACCTACTGTGAAAGTCTCGGGGGTACAGAGGAATATACTTTTACCTTCCAGGTCATCGATGGTTTTCTCCAACTTGGCCACCGACCTTTCGGCAAACTCCGCTCGGGTCTCAGCCTGGGTGTAAAGGCAAGATGGGGAAAAATGACAGAAATGTAGGCCCTCCATCACTTAAGTCTACCTTCACTTAAGTCACCATCACTTAAGTCTACCTTCTGTTCCGCCCCTGTGCCCAATTCCCTGCCACAGAAGGTCTCTGGTAGAGACTGGGGGGCTTGCGGGCCATTTGGACTGGAAGGACTCTCACCTCCTTTAGCTTCTCCTCCAGCAGTTTGATCTCCTCTTCATATTTATCTTCTTTGGTGGAATACTTTTAGGGACAGACACAGGCCATCAGTAGCGCACCCCCGCAAAGCCTTCATTTCTCCACGGAGCCCCACAGGCGACTCCTGGGCCTGTCTCCGGGGAGCCCCGCGCCCCGCCCGCCTGGCCCTGGCCTCCCTCCCCTGTAGGGCCGTCCTCACTGCCCCTCTGCCCCTCTACCTTATCCGCTTGGGCTTCCAGGGATTTCAAGTTGTTGGTAACAATTTTCAGCTCCTCCTCAAGGTCCCCACATTTACTGCAGGGGGGTGTGTGGCAGGGCGGGGTGTGAAGGCGCAGTGGGGGAGCGGTGGAGGGGGCACAGCGGGGAAGGGGTGGAGGAGAGAAGAGAAGAGCAAAGTCGTGAGAGTGACAGCAGGCAGAGTCTGGAAGCCCCAGGCCCGTCCCGACCCCCAGCAGGTGGAGAGAGTGCAGCCTGAGGTGGAGGGGAAGGTGAGCCGAGCGAAGGTGCCATTGGCCAGAAAGGTCCAGAGAGGTGACTACCTCCTCCTCTGAGGCCATCAGGGACTTGAGGGCCTGATCCATGGTTCGAAGCTCCTCCTCCAGCTGCCTGGCTCGGCTGGGGGCAGCGGGCAGGGGTCAGAGGCAAGACCCGTCCCTGGGGTCCCCTGCTTGGGGAACCACCTCCCCGCGGCACAGAGTGCCCCACAGCCTGGGCTCAGGCCAAGGTTCACTTGCCACCCGGGGGTGTCCTTACCTCTCAGCCACCTCAGCTCTCTCTTCAGAGCGCTCCAGCTCTCCTTCCAGGATCACCAGCTTCCTGGCCACCTGTGGGGACAGGGGAGCGAGGAGGAGATCCCTGGTGAATGATTGGGGGTGTCTGATTCGGGTGTGAGAACAAAGTGGAGCAGGACGGTCACCTCCTCATATTTGCGGTCCGAATCCTCGGCGATGTGCTTGGCCTCCTTCAGCTGCATCTCCTGCAGTTCCATCTTCTCCTCATCCTTCATAGCTCGGTTTTCAATGACCTTCATTCCTCTGAGAGGCAGGGCGAGTGGTGGGGGTGCAGTTAGGACCAGCAGGGACAGGCTCCCGGCTCCTTCCCCGCCCCATCCTCTGAGGACACCCCTGCCCACCTCTCGCTCTCATCAGCTGCCTTCTCGGCCTCCTCCAGCTTCTGCAGGGCTGTAGCCAGACGCTCCTGCGCCCGGTCCAGCTCCTCCTCTACCAGCTGAATGCGGCGGTTCAGGGAGGCCACATCTGCCTCAGCCTGTGAGTCAAAGGTCAGAGGTCAGAAAGGCTGTGTCTACCTTGGATGAGGATCAGAGAGGCATCAGAGGATGGTTATGCTTGTCAGAACAAAGCTAAGCTTTCTGGCCTCCAGACATTCAACCTATTTTTTTTTTCACCAAACCATCTTCTTCGCACATCCTGTGCTCCAGCCCAAAACATGCACTCTTGGACAAGTTCCATTCCCCTGCTGCAAGGCCTCTTCTAGCACTGTGTATAGTCTCCAGTGGATATCAGCACACAAATCCCCCCCGTCCTGAGAGCACTCCAACTGCTGGGATCAGGTCTGAGGTAGCCCTGACTTCTCAGCGGAGTCTGGCCCAGGCAAGGGGTGGGAAAGAATCAGGCCAACCAGGCCACAGTGCTGCTAAAATCCGCCAATCACAGAATCAAGCTCCGTGATGTCACTGGCTGCCAGGCAGACTCACAGCAGGAGGCTTAGGCAGCAAGTCTGGCTAAGGAACCCATGGCTGTAGCAAGAGGCTCTTTGCCAGTGCTGGATGCAAGTGGGGGCAATGCAAGGGCAGTGTGAGTGGCAGATCTGCCACTGATCCTGCAATATAGAGGCAAAACCGTGGAGGTTTTGGAGATGGTCCATAGAAATGGATGATACCTTGAGAAAAAGAGGACGGAGCAAGAAAGATCCCAAAAAGGCAAAGGAGAGAAGCAGTGCAATTTGGTGTTAACAGCATCCGCTCTGAGTGAGACTGTTGTCTTTGAGCTACTTGTGTGACCTTGGGTAACTTATTTCGTCTCTCTAAGCCTTGGTTCCTGCTTTGTAGAATGTTCTGAGATAATGCAGTGCATCTAATGCTGGATTAGTAACAGACCATCAGGGAGGTTAAAAAAAATATACAGGTTCTTTAGCTCCATGCTAGAGCCACTGAACTGAGATCTTCAGGGCAGGGGCTTGGAAATCCTTCTATCTTTTTTTCTTTTTTAAGCTTTCAAGAGATTCTGAGGAGCCTGGCAGGGGTCACAGAGTCCGACATGACTAAGCGAGCATCCCTCACTCACTCAAGGGATTCTGATGATAAGCAATCTTGGGAAATAGTAAAATAACACAGAGAAAGCACTTGAGCACGTGCCTGCAGAGTCCCCATCCCATAAACGTTAGCTCATCCCTTGTCTCTCCCTCAAAGGCAAAACATAGAGATGCTGAGGTTTGGGACTGGAAAGAAGGGAAGAGTGCAGGGGAAGAAGAGAGTGCGAGGGGAGAGGCAGTGGCAGCGCTGGGGACAGGACAGGGGAAACAACACCATATGTAGAAAGTAGTGTTGCCCTTACACTCCAGGTGCTGAAGGCCACCTAGAGTGACAGGAACCCATCCTGGGCACAGGGCCGGATGACTCAGTGTGGAAGGATTCTGGGGACAGCACTGGGGGTTGGGAAGAATGACTCTGAGGAATCCTGGAGGTCTAGGGAGAGGTGAGACTCTATAAAAGGGAAACTCTGTCTGTGGTCATGGGGTAACAAGTGACTCTGGAGAACCTGGGAAGTCCTGGGGCCTGCAGAACAGGACTGACTTTTGGCATTTTGTGCTTCTCAAGTTTTTCCCAGTTATGGATGCTGCTCTCTTAGCCACAGGACAGACAGTGCCATCCCTATTGCATAAACGGGAAGCAAGAGACGAAGGAGAGACTGAGGCAGTGCATGGGTTAAGTGCTGTGTTCAAGGTCATGCAATAAGTCTGGGCAGTGCTTCCTCTCTACTCCTGGCGCTGCTGCCCTGCTTTCCCAGCTCTGTCCCTGTCCTCCCCTCCTCCTCTCCAGCCCCCACCCGGCTCCTTGGGTTTCCAGTCCTGCCTTCAGCTGCACTGGGCCGTAGTTATTTATAGAGTGTCAGATGCCCAGGGTCGCCTTCACCAGCAGCTGCAGGTCAGTTCCCTTCCAAGTGCCAGGGTGGGTGAAGAACCAAAACCAAAGACTGGAGGTCAGAGAAACCAACCTTGGGGGCAGGGGGGATGGGGAACATGGATAATGGTCAACACAAACAGTAATGTCATTTCTGATCTTGGATGTTCAGACCATGCTTATGCTAATCCCCCCATCCATCCAAGTTGAAGTCTCATTTTAACCTTAATCCTAGGTGGAAGGCAAATGGGGAACAGGAGGCAGAGAAAGTACCAGGTCCAAAGTCTTATGGCCATTCTCCTACCTCAAGGTGGGGGTTGGGACTGGCAGGAGGTGGAGACGTCTGGTTAGGAGGTGTGGGGTGGGCAGAGAAATCTCAGAGTGAGCAGGACTTGCCAAGGTGGCTGCCCTGGCATTTGTGGCCCTGTCCCTCTGCCCTGTGGCCTGGCATGGTCTCGAGGCTGACAGCTTAATGAGGGTAAATAAGGGAGCACAGAACCTGAGCTGGGGCCCTAGTGCACAGCAGGGCCACTGGAGCCAGAGGTCAAGGCCAGGGAATTTCTAATGGCCCCCCAGGGGTGTAATTCAAGTCAGGGCCCATCTTTGGACTCGTCTTCTCTCCCCCTGCCCACAGCACCTACACCCACAGCCCACACCCCCAAAATGTAGCTGCAGTCTTCTCTCCATTTTCAACTGGAGGATTAGTTGAGGTGGAGGGTAAATTCTTGTACCACCCACCCCCACTATGACTCATTGTTTGATCACTGTACATTCTAAGAGCTGGAAGCCAACGGAATTGCAATGCTATGTCCTCTGGGGGAAGTGGTAAGTGGTTTTGATTTACCCACTGTCTTGAATTATTTGTGCCAGCTTGCTCTAGCCTGGGTTCCTGCAAGGAAACCCTTTCAACCCTGGTGAAGAAGGTCCCCTCCATCCCCGTCTGGGACCCCTAGCAGTGCACTAGTTCTCCGACAGCCCAGGTCCACACTCACGTCAGTGGCTTTCTTCTCAGCCTGCTCCAGCTTCTCCTGGGCATCCTTCACTGACTCAGAATACTTTTCCACCTCGTCCTCTGTCCCTTTGAGCTTTTTCTGGAGGGCCTGCTGCTCCTCTTCCAGCTGGGAGAGAAAAACCTCAGTCAGCCAGGCCTAGGCCCAGGCCGGAGTCAGGGGTGTGGGTGAGGGGGTACTGAGACATTTAGAGGCTGTCAGAGAGGAAGAGGGACATCCGAGGACAGCGGGGGACAGGGCAGCCAGGGGTGTGTGGGGAGCTGGTGGGCATAGAGAGAAAGGCCCCAGCCCCAAGGAGCAGGCCCATCAGGGCTCTGGAAGGGCAGGAGTGGAAATCTGGGGACGGGGGCTCCCCAGGCTAAGGTGGGTGGAATGAAGTGTGGCTCTGGTGAGGGACTCTCCGGGGTATTGTGAAGGCCCAGCAGCCCCCACACTGGACGGTAGAGAGCATTGGAGAGCAGGCCAGTGGCTGGGGGGCATAGGGCAGGGCCGACCCTGCCCTCTTTGTGGGGTGGGGCGGGGGCTGCGCCGGGCCTGGGACGCCCCCACCTGCTTGCAGCGGTCCTCAGCTTGCTTCTTGTCGGCCTCGGCCTGCTCTGCGCGGTCGATGGCATTCTCCTTGTCCAGCTTTAACATCTGCATCTTCTTCTTGATGGCGTCCATGGTTGCAGTGGGGGACGGGCCGGCCGGCGGGCAGTGAGGACCGGGAGAACTGGGCTGGCCTCGCGGACTGGGCGCACGGGTGGCGGGCGAGGAGCACCAAGCGGGACTGGGATGTCCCTGCCGCGCGGGCGCCTAAAAGGCGGGGAGGGACCGGGCGGAGCCGGGGGCCAAGACCCTCCCCCACTGCGTCCCAAACCTTGTAGGGGCAGAAGCACTGCAGGGTCGGGGGGCGCGGCCACCCCCTGCGCCCACCCCCTGGGGACCGCCCCCTCGGGGCCCCGCCTCTCGCCTCTATCCCACCCCTCTCCTTCCCACCCCCACCCGGCCCGCAGCCGTCGGAAGGGAAAGTAGAGGGATAGTCCGCTGAAAAAACTGGCGCGGCGGAGCGGAGGGGACCCCGGGGCTGGGGGCTCCGCGCTTCTGAGTGACAGCGCGGCGCCGCGGCAGCTGCGGCGGGGGCCCTGGGGCTATTTCGGGGCTTGAGCTCACGGCAGCTGCCCGGGCACGGGGACCAGAGTGCAGAGTGTCCCCCCCTCAACTGCAGCAGCCGCTGCCCTTAATTTAGAAGTTTCCTGTAAATCCCTTCGGATTAAATGTCTCTTGGGAGGCGGGGCTCCTCTGCCGCTTTAGTGCCTCAGTTTACCCTGAGTTCCAGACTCTGGCCTCGCGTTACCGACCCGGCAGTGACAGCGATGAGTCTCACCTGGGACCTGGGGGAACTGAGGCAGGAGGGGAGCCCAGAAACCCGGTTGCAGTGCAGATCGAGGCCGGGTTCGCTGCCCCCAAGGGGGCCCTGACCTCTTCCCCTCGCTCCCCGCTTCCAGCCCCTACCCCCCGCTCTACTGTCGACCAGCCTCGGATCCCAGCTCCGCGCCGCCCGCCCCGCCCCCCACGTGCCCCGCATATTTTCCACGTGGCTTCTGCCAGGCAGGACGCGGCGCGCTCCCTACCCCCATCCGCACCTCCACCCGGGACGCGTCCCTCCTCGGGACTCCCCCCGCCCCACCGCCCTCCACTCACCTCCACCCACCCCCGCTTTCCCCTAGCTTCCCCGGGCGCCCTCCCTTCTCCTCCCCTTCTCCCGGCGGACTCTCCTCTCTTCCCTTGTGAGCCAACTTTACGCCGAAATTTCTTTTCTGCCCTTTTTTGGGATGTTTCCCGTGGGGAGGCGGGGCCAGGCTGAGGCGAGGAAGGCAGGGGCAAGGGTAAGAGTTCTGAGCTGCTGGGCGTCCAGAGCCGAGGGTGGGGGGAGGTTGTCCCCCTTGACCGCGGGCGCCACTGTTTCCCCCAAACTCTTAAAAAGTCGCTTCTAGCCACCCTGTGGCCAGGGTCAAACCCTTGGGAGTCATTAAGAGCTCCTCTGTCCCTCACTCCCCACATCCCCTTAATCCTGTAGGTTCTCCCTCCAGATGAGGAAGACTTCTCTGGGGGTGCCTTGGGCCGCTCCTTGTATTACCTCCTGTCGGAGTCTGTTGTGGTCTTGCTCCTGGTTCCCCAACTCTCCTGACATTGTTACAGAAAAATCTTTTTTAAAGATGATGTGAAAAAAATAAAGTTGATGCGTGGGACCCTAAAATCCTTGCCAGTGCCTCCCCTGGCCCTCCCTCCTTTGATGTTAAGAATCCACATCTCTTAATATGGTATACAAGGCCCTTTGTTTTGGCTCCTGCCTGCTTCAGCTCTAACCTACCTTCTTTCACTTCCAGACTCACCCCCAGTGAGCAGACTTGTCCTTGTGTAGCACTCACACTGAGGTCAGTGCTGGAGCGGGACATCACCAGACTTTTCTTAAAGCTGCCACCTTTCATGCATCCTGTTCCCCCTCCCTTCCCTTGGCTGATTGCTGGTGGCTGTAAAGACAGACCAGGTGTCAGCTTTTCTAAGAAGGCTTCTCTATCCACTCCTGCCTCCCACCCTCTCCACCTCAGAGGCACCTGTTTTTCCTGCAGGCTCCTAACTAACATTCTCATCACAGTCCGTCTTACACTGTTCTCGTCCCTGTTTGCTTCTCCACCTGTCTGTGACCCTCCAGGGAAGGGACTCTGTTCAGTTCTGAATCCCCACTGTAGCATAGCATCAGGCATAGAGTTGGCACTTGATAAACATTTGCCAGGTGAATTTTTTGTGCACCAGGTTCAGAATACATGAAGATACTTTGTGGATGACTCATGGTCTAGTGGGGCAATTCTCAAAACTTTTCATTTTAGAACCCTATACACTCTTTTTTTTTTTTTCCTATACACTCTTAAAAATTGAGAGTGGGGTTTGACGATTCAAAAAGCTTTTGTTGGAGTAGGTTATATCTATCAATACTTATATTAAAACAAACAAAAAATTCAGTGTTTATTAATTCATTAAAAACAAAACAAACCCATTACCCATTACTGTGTTAACATACTTTTAATGAAAAATAACTATATTCACATCCCCAAATTAGAACATGGCAGTTGTTTTACACTTTTGCAAATCTCCTTAATATCTGGCTTAATAGACAGCTGGATTCTCAAAATCTACTTGTGCTTTCTATCTGTTGCTACGTGTTGGTTATTTGAAGTACTCTTTATGAAGATAAAGCACTCACACAGATACGTAGTTGGAAGAGAGAATAGAATTCACTGACCCTTGAACGTGACAGGGTCTGTGGAGTTGCAAATCCAAAACTTAATCCTCTATTTGCTTGCTTCCTCCATATACATGATTCTGCATCCCTGGATTCAACTAACCACTGATCATGTAGTACTGTAAATATCTATTGATCCCCATATAAACGGAACAACCCATGCTGTTCAAAGTGTCAATGGCATGTGTAACCTTTTTGGGCAATTGTGGATATTCTTCTTTGATACTACATCAACAGTTGACTGTTTCTTAACAGTTAGCTGCAGTGAAGAACCTGACCATATCAATAACCTTCCTGTACAATGTTTCATTAAAATCCATTGGTCTGTATTGACTTTGGTTGGATCTTTTTTTTTTTACTCAGGGATAATTTTGTAACAGCATGTATGCATTGGTCATTTGGAAAATGATTCACTGAGCTATGCAGGTGTTCCAAATGTCAACACATTTCATTATATATTATTTAAAAAGTCCTGATGGTTTCAACAGAAAAGCTTGTTTTAAGTTTGGGGAAGCCGTAAACTCATGGTGGCAGATACAAGTTTTCTAAAATTTTAGTTCTCACTTGAAACTTTGAACTGTATCACTGGCAACAAGTACTGGCAGGTTTTTCCTTGAAGTGACACGTTCTGTTTTTGAGAAGAATCTGCCAGCTACCCAAGTCTGTCAGTCATTCCTGCAGGTAAATGTGGTCTATGAAAAAAGCAGCTAGTTCAGCTCAAAGAACTGTCTAGGTGCTTTCCTTGAGACACCATCCTACTTTGGTGTGCACCAGAGAAGTTCTACACATGCTCCCCAGTTGATCACATGGAACAGTGAAACACTTGTTCCTGCAGGACTGAGATTTCACAGAATGAATAATTTTTGCTGCTTCCTCAAGGACATTCTCCAGTGAGAAGGCAGCATTTATGTCTTACGTTGTCAGTGCGTGGCGGCGAAGAGTACAGTGACTGTGGTAGTTTGGGCTACTGCCTTGGTTTGTACTAAGGCAGCTTACCCACCGAATGTTCTTACACTATCAGTGCAAATGCTGACACTCTGACAAAGGAAAACAATGTCTTAGTATGACTATAAAGTCATCTTTCTTCTGCTTATTTTTGGCTGTGCTGGGTCTTCACTGCTGCGTGGCTTTTCTTGAGTTGCGGCGAGTGAGGGCCCCTCTTCCGCAGTGTCTGGGCTGCTCATCGCAGTGGCTTCTCTTGTGGAGCGCGGGCTCTAGGGCGCGTGGGCTTCATTACTTGCGGCGTGTGGGCTGTGGCTGTGGCTCATGGACTCCAGGGCACAGGCTTAACAGCCATGGCGCAAGGCTTAGGTGCTCTTTAGTGTCTGGGGTCTTCCCTGACCAGGGGTCGAGCCTGCGTCATCTGCATTGGCCGGCACGCTCCACCACTGAGCCACCAGGGAAGCCGCCGTAAGGACCCCGAAAGGATCCTGGGCACCCCTAGAGGCCCGAGGGTCAACCGCACTGTAAGAACTGCTGGTCTAATAGGTATTTGGGTCTCTCCCCAGAAGGCTCCCTGAGGCATCAGTATCGAGAGGAACGTGATTGGTCACGGTTCCTGAGGATATGGCAGGGAAGTGGTAGCAGGAGTCAGCAGCTGTCTGGGCTCTTAGCTGGAGGAGTTCAAAGGTCTGGACTACCACGTGTTGGGGAAGTGGTAAAAGGGATTTGATCTCTAAGGTCCTCAACGATACCAGGACATTGAATCTGGGGTTAGGGGGCCACAGCCGCACGGACTGCAGTTGCCAGTCTGCGTCAGAGAGGTGATAATACATCTCTGTTTTCCAGTGCTTAGCCTGGGCCTGGCTTAGTAAATATTGAATGAATGAATCACAGGTGACACGAGCGATAGTAGGAAGCTGGCACCTCCCCTTATGGGCTGCCCTGGGGAGGACAAAGTCATTCTACTTTAAACCTACGCTAATGGGGTAGGAGTAGAAGATGTCATGCCTTTAAGGAGGCGACAAGAGGTGACAAGAGTAGCAGCAGATTGGGTGGTGTTTGTGTACTTGGAGGGAGAAGCAAGGAAGTAACATACTGAGCAACAGGGCTGGTTGGAGAACCGTATGTGGAAACAGGGGCAGAGCTGAGAGGGCTGCCAGGTGTTCCAGGCGGCATGGGCAACGTGGGCAGATGTGGGGGCAGTGGAAGCACACGGCACCCCCCACCTCGCCCACTCAACCTCCAGGTGAGCAGGGCAGCTGGCACGGGGCTCCCAGCACCTGCCTGGCCGTTAGGGGAGCTCTGGCCCGACGATGCGGCCTCACGCTTGCGTCTGGCTTTTTCAGTTCCTTTTCTTCTGGTTCTGTTCTAGGCAGGAGTGGCAGCAAGGCCTGGGAGGGGCTGGAAGCGCCCAACCCGGTCAACGTTGAGTCTCCCCGAGGCGGCCTCAGGTTGGAATTTTGGCCTGTTAACTGCATCAGCCAAATCTGGTCATAGTTCTCTTAGGCTCAGACACTTGTATCCGTAAGCTTGTTTTCAGCAAAGCCGCTTCTTGAAAATTCAGACTTGGTGAGGGACTAGATTTGTTCACGTGAGCGGTGGTGAAGAACAGTGTCCCTGGTAGCCACGGGGAGCACTGGCAGCTGCTGGCCCAGGAAGAGAAAAGTGGCACTCA